GTATGATAGAGGCATTAGCAAACCACAGAGGTTTGTGCTTGCCCTCGTGCTTGGATACAGACATGTTGATGCCCAAGATTATTAGCACATAGAGAACCTGAACTTGACTTCCTGGGAGCCTGTTTTCCTACATAAACCAGACAGTAAAGTTCAAAGGTGGGATGCTATTATCAGGCATAGGTGAAATTAGAAGTACAGGCACGAACTGTAATCAATGGGGCAGTAAGTCAAGTTCTTCAACTGATTCTTCAAGTTTAACACATCAGAGGTTATTAAATTAAAATAACTAAAAGGTAGAGGGAATTAGATCAAGTAAGAGATGAAGGATGCATCCATTTATTCTTTCTAATGGAAGCCTGACCTCTCCTAATGAAAATTAGTGGAGTATGCCAGATGAATGCTTAAAACACCAGAGCAGACTTCATGCCTTCATCTTGATTAGACTGAGCATAGATGGCTTTGGGTCAGATAAAACTACTGGCTGGGGTCACTAGCTCTGCAGATTTCTCTGTCATTCCTTCTGAAGATCAGGCAAACATCGCAGAACAGAGATACTGAATGAAGAGCAAAGCCACACTAATCTTTCCAGGCACCAGCAGTGTTTCATAGCAGCGATGTATTTCACTTCTGTGCCATTGGAACCACCAGTGCAATGGAAGTGGAGGAGGACAGGTGCTTTGCCCATACTGCTTTGCTAACCCAAGGGTGGGATACTTTTTCTCCATGGGAGGCTTTGGACTCACAAGAAAAATAAATCAATGAGAGGGGGAGGTACTTGTATATCCCTGAAGCAGAAAAGCAACAACAAAAAATCTCAGTTGTCTGGACAAAAAGGATTATTTTGCCCAAATATATTTTTTCAGATATCTGAGATTTCCCCCCCTCCCTTCTAATCACCCATTGTGGGGTGTGTTGGGAGGCTCGGTCTACCTCCCAAGTAAACATGCTGCTCCAGAATTTTTCACAAAGCTGTATGAACACATCTCTGTTGTTGCACTTCTCTGAGTTCACCCAGAGTGAAGTGTTGAGCCCTCTCTCAATCCCCTTCTCCCCTTTTCTCCTGTGCTGCCCTGCAGGCTGGGCACTGTGAAACCTTGCCTGTTGGCACTTCTCCCATTTCTCAGTCAACTGAATCTCCCGCCTATGTTGTCTCCTAGCAACCAGCATCACCTCTGGCGGGGGGACCTCTATATCAGACAGACTGCTCAACTCCTGCTGTGAAACCTGCTCAGATTCCAGCTGCTCTCCCTGTTCTGTCATTTGTAGATCAGGACTCTCAACAGCCCTCACCATCAACTTCACCTCCTGCTCTGCTATCTCCAGCTTCTCCTGGACCAATTGACTGTCACCTCCACCCACCTGTCACCAATTCCCCTTCTTGCTCCTCAGATGTTCCCTGACCTTGATTTGATATTGAAGCTTGCTGACATTCCACAATCCCGTCATCTTCACTGTCTGAGCTCAAATTCCCATCGAAGCTATAAACTGGTCATGCGCGTTCTGGCACCTTGTCCCTATGCTCATGCACAACAGGATGGAAGACAAAATCAAAAATGGGCGCAGCCATACATTTTCTCTGAGATTTTTATATGATGGGACGGCATATAAAAGCTTTTAATAAATAAATAATAAGTAAATGCCTTTTTCTTGCTTTAAGTGCATCTTTCCTGCAGTTCCCTTTTTTGCTCTCTCACACACTTTCTCCCACCCCTGGAGAGCAAACATGAGAACAAAGAACAATCAGACAGCAAGCAGAGCACTTCAACTTGAAGTGCCTACAGAAAGCGCCTACAGGCTCCCAGCTCCCTACTACTGGAATCCCAACCTGTATGTTCAGAATTTTGAAAGAATGTTATGGGTGCTCTTACAAATGGTCTTCATGGGGACTTGCCCATTCATAAAATAGCTACCTTAGTGGGCATAACCAATAACAAAACACTCCTTTTCTAGTAGGCCAGTTGGTGAAAGGAAATGAAAAGAGTTGCCCAACAACTGAAGTACAAGGGAGAGGTGGAGTCTGAGTTTCATAACATAAAGCCACCCTCAAATATAATGTTGGAGGGCAACCCTTCCCTTTCAGCATTAAATATCATTTAAATTTAAAATGAATTAAAAATATGGAGGGACAGAAAATGTGATGGGCACCATATGATGGCCACCATCATAGGTGTCCATAACCACCTTTGACATTCCAGCTGTAGTTCCTTGTCACAGTGAAGGAAAGGCAGAGTTCTCCCATTTTGGATACATGTTCCACCCAACTAGTATTGGCTAAGAGGATGAAATGGCACTCTGTTTCCCAATATTCAGGCATATCAGGGAAAAGAGAAGGTAGCAATTCCCATTCAGCCCAGGTTTATTCTGCTAAGATGAATGATAAAGACAGAGTTTCAGATTTAAAAGAACATTTAAATGTTTTTTATTAAATGTGCAGTTGATTTATTTCAACTGAGCTGGCTGGACAAACAGGAAAATATTTTTGAATGTGCCATTTGAAATGATAGCTAAAAATCTGCTCAACTTATGCCTCCTTCCTGATCCATCTATTCAAAAAACCTGGTATTGGTATGCATCTCCCTCCTGACCTTTAGAAAAGTATCAACAAAAAGAGGGAGATAAAATGGGCTTTTTATTTTTCAGCACATGCATTCCTATTGCACCATCTAGTGGGCGATAGAAGTACATAGGAACACTCACTTTGGATCAGACCAAGGGTCCATCTAATCCAGCATTCTTGTCCTATTAGCTGCCCAGAAAAAAACCAGATGCAGGACATGAGTGGAACAGTATCCCCCCACCCATGTCCACCAGGAACCGGTGTGCATAAGCATATTGTCTCCAATTCTGAAGACCGCATTGAGCCACTCGGACCAGTTGTTTGCTTTAATCTCTAGGAATTTGTTCCATCCCCTTTTAAAACTGTCCAACTTCTTGGCCGCCTCTACATTACGTGAGAGTGACTAGGCAGTGTGAGAAGAAGTACTATCTTTCACTTGTCCTGAATTTTCCACCTATCAGCTTAACAGGACAACCCCAGGTGATAGTATAACAGAAAAATGTCTCCCTACCCACTTTCTCCATTTCATGCATAATTTTGTGTGTGTCTATCTTGTCCCCCCTTGCCTCTTTTCTAAGCTAAATAGTCTCAGATGCTGTAAGCCCTTCTTGTAAAGGACTTGCTTCAGCCCTTGATTATTTTAGTTGCCCCTTTTCCAACTCAGTGATATCCTTTTTAGGTAGTGACCAGTGAGAGCCAGTGTGGTGTAGTGGTTAAGAGCATGGGACTGGGACTCAGACGATCTGGGTTCTAGTCCCTGCTCAGCCATGGAGCCAACTGGGTGACTTTGGGCCAGTCACACTCTCAGCCCAACCTACCTCACAGGGTTGTTGTTGTGGGGATAAGATGGAGGAGGAGATGATGTAAGCTGCCTTGAGCCCTTTGTAGGAAAAAGGCAGGATATAAATCGCAATATAAATAAACAAACAGATAAACATTTAACTGTCCAGCAGCTCTTACAACAGAACTCAAGTAGATGTAGCACAGGATGAGATCAAAATACAGGGTATACTGGGGGGCCACTAATTTAAATAAAATGGTGGGAGAGGGTTAACCCCTTCCCTCTGCCCTGTGTCCTTGATCAACATCACACATATTCCTGAAAATGTTACTAGCCTTGGAGCAGGCACAGCAGATACACCATGGTATCTGTTATCCTTCCCTTTCTCTTCCTGTCCCTCCATGGCTAATAGCAGCTATTGGTGATAATTTTTTTACTAGGGAAGATTTAAATGGCAGAAATTAAATCCACTGCCCTGGCTTTGCTTCCCTGATCAGATTAGCTGCTTTGAATGAAAAACCTTTTTTTACGGAGAGACCTAATCATGGAGCTCCTGAGTCATGTGTAATTTGAACAATTGTTTGTATGTTGCAGAAGTTCCTGTTGGAACCCGAGTCTTTTCACACACTGTGTGATGCAAATACAGGTTTGTCCCTTGTGCATAGGATCTGTATAAAAATTTGGAAACTGTCAGCACCACAATCACTCTCCACCTTTTCACTGGGATAAACATATCCTGTGCCTCCAGCCTTTTCTCATGATTTGTATCAAAACTATCATCTTCGGAAGTCTTGCAGTGTGTCAGGACCTTTAACAATTGTCTACAATATACCTCTGAAATCACTGCATACTCTATATGGAACAGAACAATGCTACTGCGGTATACATTTATTTACACAAATCTCTCAAGTGCTAGCTTAGCCACCAGATTATACTGGAGAGCATTTCTCAGATATCACAGTATTTCTGGCATCTAATGCAACAGATTCCCAAAGGTGTAACCCAAGTTGCCTCACAATGTTATACTGCTAAATGGGAGAATTCTGCTTGCGCACACTAACAACTGGAGTGCATAGGAATGTACATTGCAGCTGCTTGGAACTATCTAGCGTCTGCAAACCAAACAAGAAGGTAACAGACCAGCACATGTAATGTCATGACATAACACAACCCAGGCACAGGAACCAAATTTTAAAGGTGCCGGTAATAACTAGAGATGTGGATTTTTATCACTGGAGTTGGCAAAAGCATTTCTGGTTATGAAAAATGTAGAGTAGATGGTTCATTCAGACAGTTTAAGGACCTGCAAAATTGGTCAGAAGCTGTACAGCTCCATTATTAAAATGTGGTGTTGTATTAAACCACTGAAAATACAACTGAATTTTTCAGTGATTTTTCTGAAACAGCCTTCTCCAACCCAGTGTTCTCCCAACGTATTGAACTACAGTTCACACAGGGCACCAGGTTCAGGAAGGCTGTTCTAAATGAAGCACATAGGAAAAAAGTACCAAAAAATCCAACTCATCAATACTTCAGTCTTATTTGGTTGCAGGCTCCTACTCAAACAGAGGAAACCAGAAATTCTGTTCATTCAACAAATGTGTATTCTGCACTTTTCCAAGTTTTCTACTACTGTAGATAAATAGTGAATGATTCAAAGGATTATTCTTTTCAATGTAGCCTTTTAATTAAAAAACTAATTACATGAGTCTGTGCTTCCCAGTACACATATTAAAAAAAAAAAAAGAACAGCATGTATTAACAGTTTGTAGTGTACTCCATAACTGCCTGTTCCCTTTGAAGAGCTGCTGTTTTATCTATGCTATTATGTGTGTGAGTGATGAAGGAGAGATACATGATGCTGGCAAGACTGAGTTGCCCCAAACTGTGATACAATTTGCTTTAAGCAATTGGTAACAAAACACACACACACACACAGATTCCTACACATGTTCTATTTTACTGTGAAGGATCTTACTTCTTAAGTATTACTGCTGACACTTGTAATTTAACAACTCTTTAAAGGGATGACATTGCATACCAACTACAAGCTTGTCTCAGTGTTAACACAATTAAAACAATAATATGGAAGACCAATAGTTTTACGTTTTTTTCTTCTATAAAGAAGACAACTTTAAAAAAGCATTTAGTAGTCCACTTTTGCTTTAAAATATCCATAAGCATGAAAAAGCTGAAAATGAAAAAATACACATTTTTGTACACCATGATCAGAAAGTTTACATTATAAATCTTTTGAAATTGCACTGTATTTAAAATACCCCCCTAGAGTCAACTTCCACTTCAAAGCATAGCTGCTGTACTACTGACAGGTCTTCCTTTGTTTAGTTGCCAACCTGTGGAGGCCCTTCAGGGATGAGGGATGTAAAGAAGGTTGTGATGAAGGACCATGCGGAAGCCATAAATCCAGGATGCTGTTCTGTATTGACATCAACTATATCTTCACCACTGTCTTCGTCAATCCCATCATCCATAAGGCGTTCCTTTATAAAACAAAATTCCTCAGTGGCTTAATTGTTTTAATTCCAAGGGATAAAAATTGTATTAATGAAATAACTGAACACTGCAGCTTCTTACGAAACATACCATGTCCTGTTCAACCTCTCAAACACAATGTAATCCAATAAGGAAATGGAAAGAAATTGATAATTTTGACAAAGAAGCTGCAGCAAAATTGACACTACATTTCTGAACAGCAAATGTTACACATTCAAGAGCACAATCCTATGTACGTTCCAGAAGTTTCTTTTATATTGTTATTTATTTTATATTGTTAATTTTATATTGTTATTTTTGTATTTTATTGTATTTTATTTTGTGTTGTGAGCCGCCCCGAGGCTTCGGCAAGGGGCGGCATAGAAATGTTTTAATAAATAAATAAAATAAGTTCCATTGTGTTCAATAAACATATCTAGGATCACAGCCTTAATTTCAATTTCCAACTTTAAAGGCAATATCAGCAGAGTAGTAGTATTTCTTAAAGTGCAGGTTGGCACAGCTCTTCAACTACTGTGGAAAAAAGTAACCATGCAACAACTGTGCCTAAGTTTGCATATACCTACCATCTCTTCAAGTCCGGCATTATTTACATTTTGCCCATCGTGGTTCACATCTGCATTATTTGCTGCAGGCTGCTGGATTCCTTCTTGCCTGAATGGGAACCACCCAGCTTGGTGTCTGTTTTATAACACACATGCAGAAAGTTACTAAAAATGATATACCTGCCTAATCTAAAAACAAACAAAATAACAACAAGGATGTTGACAAAGCAGAATGGAATAGTTCTCCACTGGAAGTCTCATTCAACTTATTTGCAGAGAAAGAACAGACCAAAGTAAATACAAATATCCATTAAATTAATCCAACTTTCCCATTTAATCACATGGAACAGCATGACTTAGGAAAGCTTTAGGAATTTTAGGAGACCTTTGAAAGATTCTCCTCTGTATGTATCAAGCTGTATCAACCACCAACTGTTCAGGCCACTGGCAAAATAAACCATTTGCAGAATTCATATCATTCAGAGCCAACTTCATCTTACAGAGAAGATCATTTTAAAAACATAACTCAATACTAAGACAATTAAAGCTCGCATCATCTAGTTCAATGAGATAGCATGACTTTGACATTGCCCTTTATTTTATGCTGATTGATAAATACAAAGCATGTAGACGTCGCTTCATTACAATATTGTTCAAAATTATTTCTTAGTACTATATGTAAAAATAATGGTATTTTATACTTTTACTTAGATGTCTAAATGAAAACCTTGGCTAATAAAACAAAGATTTACAGTCTCAGTATGATTAACCCTATTCACTACTACTTGACAGTAAAGAGGATTTAAATTCATTCATACTTAGTACTGACTCACTAAAGTCAACGGGGTTTAAGGCATAACTAACTTCAGTGGATTTACTCTAAGCATGACTAAATTGAGATCAGCGCGCTGTGAAGTGCGTATCCATGGTGGGACTTGATTAATCACAGCTGTTTCTCCAAGTATGACTGCTTCATGACATGGCCACCTACTGGATGTGCTTTTATAATTAGGACCACATAGTTATAATCCAATGAATACATGCTTGGTTCCAGGTGAGTGGGAGTTTCTCACTTCTCCCATTGCATGCATGTGTATCCTTACATATGTCACTCTAAACTGTTCTGTGAATAAGTCAGAATAGGGTCATTCCTCACTAAGCAATCCACAGTTAGCCTGAAAAATGAATGGGCTTAACACAGCTTATTCTCCCTCTCCTTCCCCATCAGTCCTCTAGCCAGCTCTAGCACATATCCCAGTGTTCTTTGCAGCAGAACTCATCTTGTCTCTCCCTCTCCGCTCTGATTGCTACTCCATTTCATTTGCTACCAGAGCCATAAGAAAGCACATTAAAAAAAATCAGCCCCTAAAAATTGTGCAACTTTTGTCTTTGAAAAGTGCGCTGTTAAGGCTGTGCAATAACTGTAGCCTTGCCTAGTCAATTTCCTTGCTTACTGCAACTGTCAAAGGCTGCAGTCGTGGAACAGGGAACAAACCAGGAAATGGATGAAGTGTGAATGCATACAGGCTCATTTGTGCATATTTGCTAGGGACCAACTGCCAAGTTTTCAACTGAAAAGTGAAGGAGGTGAGGGGGTTACCCACAAATATATTTTTGCTTCACTTACTCCGCTTCCTGCCACCCCTATTCCCAGTGCTTTGAATTTTCATTACAAGGCCCTTCCTTTTTCTTACTGTTACTTGTCCTCTGCTCCTTCCATCATTTCTGTCTTGGTGGAAAGATAGCCACTGGCAAGATCACAAAAAATAAGCAACATGGGCTCTGTTGCTGCTGTTGCCATACAGTTCCATATAGCTGTACCTGGCAACCCAAAATGAAACAGCCCTGCCAGCTTCTGATGCCACAACATCCCATCTTGGGCAAGAACAACCCTAATCAGGCCAGGGTTTTCCAAGATGGCTGTTCATGAAAAATACACAACTCATTCATGGAAAATATGACAACTCATTTTGCCTGGTTACCCATGGTGGATTATTGTACCATCCAAATCAGGTCACAGCTTCAGATGTATTCAAACAGGACCCCCATTACCCATCTCATTTATGGTGATCTTAGAAGCCTGCGTACCTTCAATGACCATAATAGCAACTGTTAGAATATTCAGATTCATTTTCTGCTTGATTTGCATCAATAAAATTTGCACACTGAAATAGCTTAGCCACTAATACTGTGTGTGCTGAATATTCCATTTCTAGTCTTTGAAAATAGCTTGAACAAATCCAGTTGTATTTACATGCCTAAATTCCCTCAAATGAACTAATATACTTTGGAATACAGAATTTTACATGAGGGCCCTCAGTTTGGGGAGGGAGAATTACTACATTTTTAAAAATTATTATAAAGACTAACAAATTGAGCTTTCTAATTGATCAGTTTTGCCTCAGTGAGGCTTTAAAATTCATGAAAACTATAATTCTGGTCATGAAATTAACATAAACCCTTTATGATGAATTAAGGATTGTCAAAGTTGGAGAGAGTGAGAAAGAGAGTTAAAATTAACAAGTCATGCTCTTTATGCAATATGATATTTTAAAGATTGGGTTATGTGAACATTGGACATGAAGTCCCCAGTTGAAATTAGGCCTCAGCTGTGAACTCACTAGGTAGCCTTAGCCAAGCCACTGACTGGGTTTGCACAACACAACAACCCACTGTGGCTGACAAACCATGCCATGTGAACCCAGAAGGTTTACCAGAGGTTGGCTTGTTTGCAGGCAACATGCCACCTTGATAACCCATATCTTGATCCTGAGGTTGTTTTTGTACCCATGATGTCATCTGAACCGAAGCAGCTGACCCCACTGTGAGTACCGGTAACTGGTGAGCTTCTTGGCATGAGTGGCAAACTCCTTGTTCTTGCCAAGCTGGCCCAGGCAACTGTCAACTGCCCCACAAATGCCCAAGCAGCACCTTGACTGGCACTGGATCTCTGCTTGGAGCAGACAGAAAGTAGAACCTTTGCCACACTAATTGAAAATGTGTCTGAAAATGCCTAGGAAACAACAGTGCATCATGGCTTGCTATCCCTTCCTGGGCAACTGTATGTAAAAGTGAAAAGTTGCAATGGGGGCGGCATAAAAATGTTTTAAATAAAAAAATAAGAAAAGAAAAGATGGGGAGCCCCCATGAACCAGTGGTAGAAATTCTATTTTTTGCCTTATGATTGCCTCAAAGGGAAGATGGGATACATGGGGCACTCATATTTTCCCCCTATACTAATATTTCTGTATCAGCATTATCAGGTACATTCTGAATACACTTGGCAAATGTCATATTTTGCAGCTGCTTTATAAAAGTTATTTTGTTTAAAAAAGGAATCCCTCAGACCACTTCATAAATGATTAGCTGATAATGCATGCTGCAGAAAGGTTCACAGAACTATGTATTAGTATGCCTTCTGATCTAAGCACTGGCCTGGGAGATAAGTATCAGAGACATTTGTGCAAAAACACAAAACAGATTAAATCCTCACTCATCTCTAATATAAAATGCTTTGACTTTACAAAACAATGCTATATATAAATAAAAATTTACTTACAGGTAAACCAGTAACATGGCTCCCATCACCATCACAAACCGACTGAAGGAGGAATAGAAATATACAATGCTTAGGAGAATAGCTGCTCTGGAAAAGGTGTACATCCAGTCTAGCCAGTCTCGATTGAAGTCTTCCTCATTCATTACTGGGCCCCCCTGAGCATTCATCTGGACATTCTGATTTACAGGCCTGTTCTCCTGTGGGGCTACATTTGGAACTGCTGGGGGCTCATTTGCAGGAGCACGCTCAGAATTTGTGGGCTGAGGAACCGGAGGACTACTGGAATCAGTGGTGGGTGTTGCCTGGGCTGAAACTGCAGCTTGGCTGTAAGAGAATCATTTAAGAGTGTCTTAAGTTATAAATTTTGTTATTTAGCAATTCGCACAGATATTGTACAGTGCATTCCACAACCACCAACAAATATGCTGGATAAATTTCCTGCATACTAAACATGACCAACTTCCTGCATCTTCTCCCTTAACACCATCCACTGGACTGCTATAGTGGATTCAGAAGCAGCAACTGACACCACAGTTGCTTTCTGTAATGGTGGCCTTTCATTTTCCAAAAGGGCACACACTTAAAAGACAGTCTATGAAAAGGCAAGTTCACAAGAAAACCCTTCACCATGGAAGAATACTGGGCACAATTCTCCTGTAACAACTTTACTATACATCATCAGCCCCCAAACATAAAACTGAGGCTATTCATAAATAAGCAATTGTTACAATGCAGCAATTCTTGTACTGAATAGTCAATTGAAGCTAATTTCTGTTTCAAAAATAGTTTATCTAAACCAGACAAAGACAAAACCTAGAATTCACATCTTTATCATCACCTGGCCATCTGAATGCTAATCAAAAGAGGCACTGATTTGTACTCACTATTGCATATAATACTGCCGTGCATACATCTGCTGCCACCATATCATCTGTAGAGGGCTGAAAGCAGGATACACTGAAAATCCAGCTGGCACTCCTTGCCCAGGAAACTGGTTTCCTACATTGCTAGAAAGAATTAAAGCAAAACACATGTCAGGGAATCACTTAACGGAAGTATGCATACAGTGGTACCTTGGCCACAGACGGGTGTGATCGCAGCCATCTCCCCCCTGCCCAGCACAACTGCAATCACACCAGTGCAGGGAAGACAGGCCCGATTGCAATCATCACCCAATGCAGAGTTCGCAACCTGAGGAAAAAATTTTCTGAAATTTCTGTTCGCGACCCAATTTGGTTGTGAACTGAGGCATTTGTGAGCCAAGGTACCAATGTAATTAGAATATGGCTGCAGTTTCCAAACAGAACAATCTTTGTCCTTTAAGAAAACCACAGTTAGTAGATTGAGTTTATACCATTTTTCTGCTGAAGAATGAAAAGCAATGTCATATCACATGTTACAGTGATTCCACATGCCATGGTTTACTATATTTTTACTTTAAAAATTCCTAGCATGTAATGGTCTAGTGCTGTTAAGTCTAGCAATTTAACAACAATACAACACACTCAACACGGTAGGATCTTAAGCATGTAACATAACACTTAGCAGCTCCTTTCTAAGGACAATCAATGCAGATCTGGTGTCTCCAAATTGGTGCCTATGGGCATTTGTCTTGCCTCCCACCTGGCTTGGTGTCCCTCCTGATTTATTTCAGCTTGAATTAGTGATGTTGTATTTAGCACTTCAGACCCCGCCTCTGATTTGTACTTAGGTTCTTGAACAAGTTACTTTTCTTTCAGTTTCACCAAGATATTCTGTGTGAAATGAGTGCTTTGTGACTGATAAAACATGGTTTCACCCACCATGATAATCCTTTATGAAGAAACAAGACCCCATAGCAGCCATTTTGTGAGATTGCCCATGATGCTCATTCAAAATTCCCAATATGCCAACAATCTAAAACGTTTCTGGATGCCGAATATAGGTATTTGCAAAAAAATGCTGATCTATTCATATACTGCCAAGACTACAGACAGATTTTAAGCATGTGAATGTTTTAGTATGCAAGAGAAGAGAAGAGCACATAATCTTCAGCTGAATCTGTAGTATGATCCTGTATCCAATCTTGCTTGAAATACCAATGGCCTACATGGCCATTTTAAGGTAGGACAAGTAGACTAGTATTTTGACATAAGCTTTGTGTGTACTACATTACATTCAAAGTGTTATAAAGTCTTATTATAAGATTTTACAGCTCTTAGTATTTTAGAAGCAGCTACAACAACTCATGTATTAAAATGATCCTGTAGAACTTGAATGTCCTGTTCTCTTTAAGGGCAATAATACTATGTATTCACAGTATCAGCAATGTGAGTTGATGCAACTCTATTGCATCAGACCACAATTCTATCTCAGAAAGAAAACTGGCAGCAAGTTGTCACAAGAGACCTTGCTGATATGTTCTGTACTCAGACTGAGAAGATGGGAGAAAGGTGGAGGCAGGAGAGAAAAGAGAGATGCAGCGTTACTTCAGTGAAGCTTATTCCTAGGTAAGCAGGTACCAAGTACACATTTGGCAAAAAGGATTCACTTTAAGAAATCATATTTACATATTTAAAAATCCTTGTGTTAAAATTAGATTTTATTTTAAACCAAGTTATTTGAGACAGCCAATGTTTTAAAAATTTATCCATCTATCTATCTATACAGAGAGAGACAGAGATCGTGCGTGTGCAGAAAGAGTATGCATGCACGCTGTTTTTCCCCCAGCTGGCTATCCACACATCTTGCTTTATTGTATCCAAGTGTTCACAGATACAGTTTCATAGGAAAAAATGTTAAAATGAACCAGACAGCTGAAATACAGCAGATGCCAGATGTCCTCAAGAAATATCTCACTTTTTCAAGCAGTTCTCCACACATTACTGTATCTATATGGCTTAGCATGTAGAAAATAAATTGGGTTTACATGTATGAACCATTTCATATTAACTAACCTAAGAACTGAAAGGTATGATCTTATATATATGGCATACAGAAAAGAAATTCACATCTGAAGTATCAGTTGTTTCCATAATCATGCATTATGTATACATTTGTCAATTTTTGCAAATTGAGGAGTTTCATTTCTCAGAATATACATTAAAGGAACCATTGATCCCCAGCATGTTCAGCAAGGCATAATGTTAAAAATATTCATGCTAGAGTGTTAGCTTTGGCAGCAAAGTTTATTTTTCTTTTATTGTACAAAAAGATTGCTGGGAATCACTGTCTTAATTTTCCTCAAAAATGATAACATACATATTTCTGGACAATTCTACCCCATATGTTTTGCTTCTTTGTAACAACACAAAAATTAGGAGAGAACATGTAATTTGCAGCAATTCATTTATGGATGAAAGCCAGCAAAAAAAACCCCACCCTCAATTCTGATTCTTATTACTCTGTCATAAAGCAAATACATTCTTATCCTTCACTCCTTTCCTCTAAGAATGGAACACAGAAATATTTACAGAATTATATTAACATTTGCAGGCCTATTCCAAAACCTGCCATGCAACCAATAACAAAGGTCTATCAGATGCTGATCAAAGTACTGAAAGCTTAGAATATTGCTCAGGAAAGCACTTCCCAAAGACATCACTACAACAATAATTAAGAACTGAAGCATTCTAAACACAAGAAAAAAATCAGTTACTCAGTTCTGGTAAGAATTACACATACTCGTTACATTAAATGGAAGCCTTGCAGATTTTTGTCCTCTAGAGGAAATCTGCATCATGTGGGGGAGATCTTTTACCTAAAGCTGTTTTCTCCCATAGTGATCTCTGTGAACACTACTGTAACATTTTAGGCAAACATGATTGCTCTTCTAGTATTTTTAAACTAAAGAAAGATGTTTAAATGCTGCTTTGAAAATAGTAAGATAAGACATTTTACTCACCCTTGCATTATATATGGGAATGGATGGCTTGGGAATGGATTGCTTTGTGCTTGTGGGAGGTTGCGATGTCTCACACCATCAGGGCTACTGCTCACAGCAGTATGTAAAGTTTCTTGAGATGGGGAAGGAGTTGTTGATCCTGAATGTTCAGAACTCTTTAAATAAAATAAAATAATTTGTATCAGACGTAATGTTTTATGCAAATTGTCTGCTTCTACAAAATTTTACAAATATTCTTAAAACAAATATTCTTAGTTGCATTCCTAACACCCAAATTCTTGCTTTTTCTACAGCCAGCTTGCTGGCCAATATTACTCCATGTGTCAGACTAATTTCCATTACCTTTAGGACTATTTAAAAGATAAAGGATAAGCAGACAGTAAAAACAAAGCAAAACAAAACATACATACTAAGCTGTGATGGGTCCAGAACTCACATTATGATTGGCATGAGGATACCACAGAAAAACGGCAATCTTTGTCTGGACCATAATAGAGACCATACTCTCTGCTTTATTCACCACCATTATGGTAAAACTCTCTACAGTCTGTGTGTAACATGTGGTGGGCTGTGTAGTAAACAAATATCACTGAAGGCATGAGATTAATATAGCTTATAAGTATTTCTGACTTTTTTTTTACAGATCTGTACCAGAAGTGAGCCACTTTGTTCTGATTCTGTTGGTTTCCAAAGCAAAGTGAGCTTTCCTCTGAAATTACAGAGATTAAGCTTTCTTAAGCTTCCACAGAACAAAGATTTGTCAGCGCTTCATGTTTTGGGGACATACCAGACTTGCTGTGTCCAAATATCATCTTGTGCTTTCATTTCTCTAAACACAGCAGGAACAGAGGAGTGCAGCTGAGTAACATCTTCTAATCCTAGGACTCCAATCACCCTATTCTGAAGGAAGGCAAGGATGGGATCCTAAGAGATGGACATTCTTCCACCAGGCTTCACTATGTAAAATCTCTGAAGTAGTTTCTGATCTACGTAACTGCCAAGTTACTTCATCTATCCTTCTGAAAATTTGCCAGAGGAGACTTCTATATGTCATTTCCATATAAATCCTGCCCCCTCCAAAAAATAAAAAGCTATAGGGGAGGGAAGAAGAAATCAATTCCCCCTCCATGAAGTGCTTCATTCCACATGAAGAATTGAACCTATGCTTTTGAAACTTTGCAGTTTTTTATGCAGGCTCATATAGGGACTGTCATTTTCAGAAAAACTGCACAAGGAATTTTGCATTCCCCTCAAAATCTCAAAGATGCTCTTACACAAAACCACATGTTTTTATCTTTCTGGAATTTGGCTTAAATTCCTCAAAAAGGAGTTGCAACTATCCCTGCAATTCTCATCCAATTCTGCCCCCAAATAAAAGATATTAGTAGTTCCCTTTAAATAAAACAAAATATTAAGCATAACCGCAAAAAAAAAGCAAAAAAAAAAAAAACCCCCAAAACCACTTTTTCTGAAATTTTTAAAAAAGGGGGGGGGGGGAAGTATTTTTTGAATTTTCCATGACAGCCAATGAGATGAATAAAACTTCGATCTTTCCAAATATCAGTTCTGGTTCAGTACTGAATCAAAATGGATCATATGCAAATTAGGCCTAGCAGAAATCAGGCTCTGAGTTGAACCGGGGCAGTGGTTCTTCGCACATCCCTATTACACATTACAAAGCTAGGTTTCTGAGTATACTTCTTTTTCATAAGGGGCAATATATTATTTTATATCTTAGAAAAAACATTGTGTGTGTTCTTCAATTTCATAGGAAAAGATCATAAGGATGTACTACAAACAGGAAAATAAAAAGAATATTTTAAAAACTCCATTTATAGTCCTAAAGACTTCTTGAGGGAAAATAGCACAATTAGGCACAAATACTGGGGGGGGGGGGGGTCAGTTATGCAAACATGGGTAAACCTAAGGTCCTCAAGTTCAACAACATGAAAAAAGTTAGAAAGTATCAAAGCAATGTATAAAGTCCAGAGATCCTACAGTTCTGTTATACTCACCAGTATATTCAGTATCCTGGTATTTCAACAATATTTTGGAATGTGAAATGGACGAAACAGTTAACAGCTGCATGTTGTCCTACTATTACTGTCAGGGTACATAAGCTAAAACAGTACTGCTGACAGAGCTTAATGATAACATCTTACACAAAGCCAACTCACCGAGACATTGCTAGATGCTGAAGAGCTATTGTTTTCCCTAGTAGTGTCAGGCTTTGGAGAACTTGGGGGTGTCCGTGAAGAACAAACTAGATGAACCATGTGATATTCATCTTGCTAAAATAAAAATGAGCCATTTTAGAAGGAAACATGTGAGATTCATGAAAAAACCTACAATGAGCTTACATATATAAAGCTGAATAACACACAAATGTAAGTATTCAGATTACATGACCTTTAAACTGTTATTTTATAGCAAGTGTTATTGGACTGCTGGAACACTGAGATGTTTCCATACCAACATGTGAAATAAAATCCCTTTTCAAATCCAATATTTGAATCTAGGCACAAAAAACGTACCCTCTATCATTAGAGTGTACAGATATTGTGGTTAAAAATATATACAAGCGAGGTGAATCAGACACTGACACCCATTCTCACCCTTGCTATTTCTTCCACTATTTGTTAGAAAATAATGCATGTACCTCCCCAAATTTTACCCCTTCTCCTGTGACACAGGGAGTAGATCAGTTCATGGAAGGAAAGTTTAATTATCCTATCTGTAATTACTTGATTGTTTTCCAAAACTGAAGGTCAATGCAATTATTCAACTGAGATTTCTTATTTGCATTACCTGCATTTGTGTTAACATGGCTCCTATGCAGAAATTTCAACTTCAAAAATGCTGAGAGCAAATTGTTGCAAATAATATAAATGGTGAGATTTACAATGTAGTGGGTTCAAACTACTGGTAATCTGTTAAACTTATCCACTGAAAACACAGCATAGAACGTGCCCTGTATCCCACTGAAACTGTGCATTTTAGCAGATGATCAATCAGGGAACTGCTAATTTCTAAGGATTGGTAACCATTCAGGAAGAAAGAATAAACACCATCATACAGGAGACAAATGTATTTAAAATTATCAAAATTATTATTCAAAACAGCATTAACAGTCACAAGTTGTATCTAGAGATGATCATTGGCCTAACTTTAAAAAGTGACGTAAGGATTATTAATGTGTGTGAAATGCTTTCATTATTCTGAAAGGGTTGAATAAATACTAAATATTATTCTTATTATTACCTTTAGCTGCCTGTGGATAAATATCTGCTCCCTTGTGTATCAGCTATGGGAATGAAAATAGCCTCATGTGCTCATAGAGCTTTTCTAGCTATAACTGGCAATCACAAAATACCATAGTACCTATGCTTGTAAGTTTTTTTTAAAAAGCTTAAGGCTTCTTCTAAGAAGGTAAACCTGTGTTTTGCAAATGGAAGCAGTTAAATTAGAGACTATTTTAAATAACAAGTTGTCAAATTTTATTACATCCTCTTGGAACCATAATGTTTACTGTGAAGAGTATTACTATGTACTCCTTGATGTGAGTCTCATGACACATTTCTCAAGCTTCCAGAATCCTCACCCCCACCAAATCCTTCCAGCTCCATACCAAGTCTTCAAGCTATGAAGTACCTCAGAGACTTTCACATATATGTCCACAATTATGTTGACTTTTTTCTTTTGAAAGACTAAATGGAAACTTCTTGCTCTCCTTGCAAAGAGTGCTCCTTGCACAAGAGAACTTGCCAAGTTAAAATCTGCAAATTAAACTTGTCAGTACCACAATATTTTATTTTACAGGGAAAGCAGTTTTATGGCATTCTTCCCATGTCCACAGAAACACAGTAACTATACCACATTGTGTGCATGATGAATTACAACACATTTTCAGCAATATTTTAAAAAACAATGGGATGGCAAGTGTAGAATCTTATTTTAGATCTTTATTATGATCATCTGTTAATCATCAAAGTTTCCTTTAGTGCACAATTACTGCATATTACACTCTATCCAAGCCTAGAATTCTTACTTCTTGGATTCGGACTGGGCTTCCATATACAGTTCTAGATGTACCTAATTGCATATTGGTAATGGTTAATATTAACTTAGTAAATTATAAACGCATTCCATACACTATTGCCCCTATTTCTTCTTCAACCCAATGAAGACCACATGGGCAAATTTTGCCCCTTCCCTTGCTATCATTGTACCACTCCTGCAATGATAATTTTAGTGACAACAGCCAAGAAATCCTACTCCTCTTCAGAATACCTTCTCTTTCTGCTCTAGGGTGTACTGGGGCAGTGGAAAGGAAGGTTAAACCAACACACTGAGACTTTGCTTTTCTCTCTCTTATCCACTGCAGCCCTCTTTACCATCCAAAAATCTGCTTGGAAGAGAGCAGAGTAATTCCCCCCTCCCATTTTGCTGACAAAACAGCTACCACTGGCAGTATCCCACATCTGGATTTAACCCTAGGAGCACCTTTATCTGCAACTCAGGACTACAGTGGTGAGCAACATAAGTGTTAACTACTGCTAGTTTATCAGAACAACATAATCTAATGCTTTTAATAGTTGCATATATTTACAACATACAATAAATAAGATACACAAGTATATATTGAATACTTACATATTTTAATATGTCAGTTGACTAAAAGAGCAATTCTGTGGTCCATAGGCAAGTATTGCAGGGACCACAGGATGGTATGGAATGCCCCTTTAGAGATCAGAGACAGCACTCCAACTTTGGAAGGATTACCCAGAGTTTTGACCCCAATCCCTTGCAGTGGGCACCAAGAGAATTATGTAATACAATTTGTGCAGAGCCTCCTCCAGATTCTTTGTATTCACCTCCAAAAAATCCTTGCTAAACAAACTAAAAAGACTGTCTATTGAAAATAAAAGCAATTAAAGGATTAGGAGGCAAAGACTGCCTCTGCATCCCCTTCAATCCTGCTTCAGTCTAACAGTGTACAGGAATTTTGCCAGCCTTTAAGTTTGGGGACTTCTGAGCAGCAAGGACACAGACTGTAGGAACACACCTTAAATCAACTTCCAGCTCCACATATGTGCTTAGGACTGCATCAACAAGTTCATAATAATAATTGTGAACGACCCCAGACATTTTATAATTATGTTTTGGCATGTAATTATGAACACTTGAAGCATGCCATTCCACCACAGCAATAACAAGTTTATAATTAAACATAATGCTCCATAGAATGTGTGATAGAATTTTTATAAGCAGCTACACAGAGTATATCGTTAAAATAAAGCTTACTTTTCTGAGAATATCTTTCAGCTGCAGGTGATCAGGAAGCAATCTGCCAGAATACACCAGCCGCTGATCCTTTGTAGACTAAGAAATGGGACAAAGGAAGAATTCATCTTTTTTCCAGCTGTACTGTTTAAAGCTGGAAACAACATTTATAGATGAAGACAACTTGACTTAAATTCCTGCTATTCATGATTAATATTTGAAAACCCAATTTCTGCATGTACTTTGATATGCATTTATTGTTAACAATTTATATACTGGCTGCTCAGCTAGAGAGCCATCCAAATGGTGTACAACTTTTCAAACCAATAAAACCTTAAAGAATATTAAATGCCATAAAATATTAATATTACATATTTTGAAAAGCTAAAACAAAAAAGTGTTTTCTAACTTTTCTATAGGTCAAAAGAACAGGGGTCAAATGTAGTTCATAAGAGAGCACATTCCATAGCACCGGACAACATAAAAAACCCTTTCACAAGTGGATCTTTGCCGGCACACACAAAAGAGCCTAGCCTGCCTTGCAGATTTTAATATGTAGGCATGTTCAAAGAGAGACAGCTTTCCCCTTTAGAACGTCTGATAGTTAACACATGTTGAAACTCCATCATTTTACAGTTCCTTGAATTAGCATTCATAGCCAAAGTATACACATACTTTGGTCTATACTTCTCAGAATACCTTCTCTTTCTGCTCTAGCAACATCACAAATGTAACCTTTGTGACCATGGAACAATAAATATCTCTTAGAAAAGTATCATCTTTCTTAACTGTTGGTTGTTGCTAAATTTGAAAGCAAGCACCTGAGGCAATGCTGGGGGGGGGGATCAAAATCAGTTCCCCTCAAGTGTAAGACCTGTGACTGAACACAAAGACCACTAATACAATAAGATCATAAAGTAATATTTTATCACACTGATACCACTGTTAAGCAAGTTCTCTCATATAGGTGGCAATACATCTATCACAAGAGCATTAAATGCAAAGAAAATCCATGTTTCCATATGTATTTCTAATTACTCTAGCAGTTGTTATTATGAATGCAAGCTTTTCTGTAATTGGGTTAGTTGATGTTTTTACTATAGCATAAAGCTACCAGATCTGATGGCTTAAAAACTGTCTTCATGTCCACAAGACCTTAAGACAGATCCCTGCTCTTTATTAACATACATCTGATGTGCAGATTGCTCTCTCCATGTAAACAAGAACCTTTTGCTGAGGCAGTATCAATTGCACCCAGTGGAACTTGGTTGTGTAGAAATATGCTGCATGTCATTAGCATGAATAAGGGCAGCTTTACACTCATATGGGCATTTGCAAGAAAAATCTGTAATGCATGCTTGGAAATCTGAGCATTCAACAGTTAACCCCCAAGTATGTGTGCAAAAGAATGCAGCCTATATATGTAGTCTACTGAAACATTAAGGCATGATGCTGTATTAAACTGTGCATATACATACATACACACACCCTACAGCAGAGGGTGTGCACTCAACCAACTAGAAAGGCTTTTGGAAAACAGGTGAACTTTTCAGGAAAATAATTTACTAGGGAAGGGGAGTAGGCAAAAAAGGAAAAATCAGCATCATGGGAAATAAATCATGTACAGCATCACAGCTAATTCTTGTTGTTTTCTCTTAACACTACTTTCTTACCAGATTTTAAAAAGAAATTTTCTTACACAATGCTTTTAGTTGGTATACTTGTTTGAAGGAAGTGATTTAACAGTTGAACATACTTTGTTCCTTTAAGACAGGCAAGTTCCTTCAATGAAAAATATAATTACAGGGCTGACTGGCTCCTGGCTGATAGCTTGCATTCAAGTGGTAGCTCCAATAATGTTCAGTTGATATGTGACAATAAATACAAACTCAGAATCATTATATAAAATAAACCAAATAAGGAAATAAGACTTTAACCAGCTCTGCACCCCAAAGTAACTGCTGATCTACCCCCAAATATATATCTAGGACACCGAGAGTCTATCCCCTATGAACAGCTATAGATGAATGGCTGACCCAGAAATTCATCTGTGTACTAAGCACTCTGAAATACACTGTCCCCCTTCCCTCTAATAACTGACCTAGGCAACCCAAACATAAATAAAACAATGCCAACTTTTCAATGATCAGAATTTATATGATGGGATGGGGAGCATATGTCATTTTGTAGTGTAAAGTAGCTCATGTCTCAGTTCCAAGTCTCAGTTCCTCATTCAGTTGTTCTATTATCACATTTATTTTGATTCACATTAAACTGAATGTACATTAAGATTAAAAAGAACATCTTTATAGCAATTATGTAGTGACTAAAATTTACAAACTACAAGTAGGCCAGGCAGGAACCAACTTCAACCATGCACTCTCCCTTAAGTATTACATAGCAATCTTGCCTTGGGCTGTTATTTCCTAATCCCAAAAGCTCTCAGAACTTTTTATCAGTTAGAACACTTTCATGGTGTATTTCAAAGAATAATACAACAGATTTGCCACCACTTAATGTACATTAAACAAAATGCACAAAACAAAAATAATTAGCTTCATTCCCTAGCAGAGGATAAGAGCACACCTTGTATCCAGGATGTTAAGGGGCTTTGTTTCTGTGAAGAGCAAGTAAAACTGAACAAAAACAGGATGAAACTACTGAAAGAGTAGTGCTAACCTCATCAATTTGTTCACTTATACATCTTTAGGAGACAGATTTTCAGCAGAGAGTAAGGCTGTTAAGGATGGAAAGACTTGTGGCATACCTATTTTTATTTAAGCTTATTTTGGAAATGAGATGTCAGCTGCTTAATATGTAAAAAATCAAGTTATGTGGCAACCGAGAAGGGCTCAAGTGAATGCATACAATAGTCAAACAAGACCCAGGATACAGGAGGATGGAGTAAGGCTAAGCTAACCACTGTCTCTGAGAAGTGAGAATGCAGCACAGAAGTTAAGAAACAGTTACCTTTGCTGCCCAAACACATACCCCACATACCAGGGTAGAATATACCAATCCTTGTCTTGACTGGTTTCAAAAAAAGTGAAGAACTGGTAAATGGGCAACTCAATGTCATAAACTACAGGAGAAGATGTCAGTGACTTGGCCACCACCACTCAAATGGATATTTTTGGTCTACCAAAATAAAAAAATAAAAAATCTTGCCCATTGAAGTGACATATTTGTAACCCGCAAGAAGTTCCTAGGACATTTTGCACATTGCATAGAAGCAAACTAGGATCTGCCACCCATACAATGAAAAGAATCTGTAGCCAATCTCAAGTTTCCACAGGAAAATCCCTATACAAAACACAGTTCCAAACATGCAGCTGTAGCTTGCTCACATTTTTAGGCGTATGAGTTAAAAACATCAGCAGCACACATATAAACAACCTGTGACGTGGCCTTCACACTCCTGACTGATGAAATAGGATGCAGAATGAAACGGAAGGGCTAGCTTGCACAACACATCAGAGAGGATCATTTGTCTTAAAAAGAATAAAGGGCAGGGCAGGGCGAGCAACTAGTAGTTGGAAGTCAGGCCAAAGAAGACAATCTGACTAGCTTAATGAAACACACCTTGGAAGAATGGGGTTTCAGTCTGGAAGAGAGCAAAAAGGCCTGGTTGTTGACTATGCTGTCAGGACAGGTATGTCTGGTTCTCACCCATCACTGCCCTACACCACTAGGCCAGCTGAAAAGCATGCAAAGAAATGGCTGTGCTGCCCATAGGCTTCCACTTCCCAGTAAATTACACCTTTTGGTTTTGATTTACTTCCCCCTTTAATGAAGACGTTTGGCAAAAGAAGCCTTTAAAGCACGAAGATGCAGCGAGAGAAGCTTCACTTGTTTAATTCCTGTGTGTCACAGGGTCCTGTTTAAAGCACAGTGAAGCAAGTCCAGCACAGCAGCGTTTTCAGAGTGGCCACCAGCCAGTACCTGCCAGACTCCCGGGAAGAAAGGAGGAGGAAGAGGAAGAGAGGTCCCCGGTCCGACTCAGCACGGCAGAGGAGGGGCTGCCCACTGCCTGTGCAGAGCGGGGAGATTTCTGTGAGGGCTGGGGAAGAGGCTCACCGGCTTGCTGGGGTACACCTTGGAGAGGTGGCACTTCAGCCTGCCCACGGTCCAGTCCAGGAAGCAGCTGATGGTCTGGTCGGTGTATTTCTGGTTGGGCGCTTTGATGATGAGGGTGACGGGCGGTCCCGCCCCGGGGGTCTCCATTGGGGCTAGCCGCGGCCCAGGCGCCGAGGTCGAGGAGGCGGAAGAGGGACAGCAGGCTCAGAAGTGGCAGAAGGCGGAGGAGGAGGAGGAGGAGGAGGAGAAGCGTTCTTGGCTTGCGGGGAGGCCCCGGGCGCCCATCTCTGCCCGCTGGGAGTTGCTTCCAGCTCAATGCCTGCCCGGCCTCGGGGCGGGAGGAGGGCACCTCTGAGCGGCGTCACACACCGGCCCCGCGCAACAAGAGCCCGAGGCGGGCCTCCACGTAACCTCCCGCCCCCACCGCTACCGCCCCGCGAGCGAGCAGGGGCCAGTCATGGGGTCAGCCTCCCCTCTTCTTACAGGGAGTCTAAAATGGAGGCCGGAAAAACAACCAACCGCCCCTGCCTAGCGAGCGCTCGGCGGCGGCTCCTGCGGCGCGCGGACGCCAGAGGGCGCTGTGGGGCGGCGGCCCAGACAAGCAGCGCGTGCGCGAGCGCGAGCGGCCGAAGCGGGGGCGAATGTGGAGTGCGTGGGAACGCCACCGATGGGAGATGGTTGCTGCCTTTCATAATTTAGCGAAGGAAGCTTTCCCATGGCACTGTATCGCCATGTTTGCATGCTGCGAGGAAATGGGATTTCCATAGTTGCTGCCACGCCGTTAAGACGGCTGGGAAAGAAGGGGTTAGCACCCATAGGGAGGGTGTACCCAAAAGGAGAGAAAGGGATGGTGGGAAATGCTGCACCCATAGCTAGGGGCGAGCTGAGGAGGCTGCCCCTCCAAATAGTCTCTGTCCTGCTCTTTAAACAAATAATTGAAAAGCACTTTACAATTTGTTTTCATAGGCCTGCAAACCAGATAACATGCTTGCCCACTGTTTGACAGTCCCCCCTTTTTTAGGATGGCTACTGCCCTGAGAACTGAAACATAGCAACAAGAATGTAGTAGATGAGAGAAAATAAGCAGAGAGGATTTTTTTTAACGATCAGGAGAAAGAGGACAACTTACAAATGCCCCTTACTCTCCATGTTGAGGCATAAATAGTTTGCCCCAAGCTACAGCCTTTTGCAATACACTTTTGGGTTTACATAAGGGATTCTCAAGTGAGGCCTTTTTAGCTGTGCAATCATGCTGGCTCAAACACAGACCTGGCTGGGGGCGGAGGGCATGTTTCCAAACATCGCAGTCTTCCATTTTTAACACTCCCATATATTCCTACTGCTACTTCTGGTGTTTCTCTTTTAAGGAACAAAAGATGGAAGAGCTGCATTGCTCTGTTTGACTGCTGGCACCAGAAGCTGCCCTTCTTGGGGTGCAGTTTGTGTTCGGATATGCCTGAGCTATGCATGAACTACAGCACTTCTTTCCCTAGAAAGGAGGGGCTGCCAGCTTGAATTCCTCATCCTCCTGCAAGTGTGGAAACAAGGAGGCAAGGATAATGCTTACCATATCTCCCCAGGTCCAGCATCTGTGACACTACAGGAAATACAACACATTAAACTTTTCTTGGCACAGGAATAAGTAGTTGCCCAAGGCCCTGAAACAGGACCAGAGGAAAGGTAGCAAATGTGATAGAACAGCAGTACCATGTTCATTCAGCCTGGTAAGAACAGTTAAACATTGAGATACTTTTCAACAGTATTTCATTCTTGACTGTTGTATATGTAGTAACAACTTCAGAACTTTTCCAGGTGACCTTCGTAAATGGGGCACTGGTATCATATCCTTCTTGTACCTGAACAGTAGATCATAGCAAACCTGTTTTGCTAGAACAGGTTGAGGCTGATATGGCTGCACAAACATTCTCCAAAGCATGTATGAAAATAAATGTTCAAAAGGAATACCAATCCAGCCAGAGCATTTATCAATGTTAATCAACGAAGGCCATGGCTAGCTTGTACAGATACTGTGTACCTGCCAAACTGCAACTTTGTAGATCATGGCTAAGCTTTTTAAAGCTTTTTTTGGGGGGGAGGGGGGCTTTTGCTTTGCTTTGTTTTGGGGCTGGAAAGTACCCTTGCAGCAGAATCCTTGGGAGTTGTTTGGAGTTGTCATATGGCCCCAGAAAGCTCTCACTTTTCAAAGTGTGGATTTGGAGGCAGAAGGGACCTAAAAACAAATCAAGAAACTATAAAAAAAGTTTTAGGGACAATACTTTAATTTCCCCCTTTCCAAGCAGGATACTTGAGGGGAATTTGGGGGTACTAGGAAGCTACAACTGTCCATTCAGGTTTGCAATTTACCACAGATGGATAGCATCTCAGGAAGTAGCAAAACATGATGGAAACCCCAAGAGGGAAGATATAAGGCTTATGGTTTAAAGGGAAAGGTCCTGCCTTGCCCTACATGGGAGTTCCCCCACGTTTTGAAGTGCCTTGCCACCGCTAGCAGCAGAGAAGCGCTGCCAACACTCAGGGAACACCTGGGGCAACAGACCTCAACACAACTATGGCCAGTGCTGCTTAGGAGACATCTCAGTGCTCCTGTACTGTCCCTTGGGATGCTGCAGCAGGACTGTGGGGGATGGAAGAGGAAGCACATAACACCTGCTGTTCCTGATCATCTGCCCGGCACAGAGGAATTTTAACAACAGTGCGTGGTTAAAATTCCCAGTGGGTTTAATGTATCAAGCAAACCTCCTCTCTCTGGGTATAACCGATTTCATTTCATATTCTGCCACAACTCTGTGGATGCTTAGGCCTGTGTTCAGTTCCATGAGGGATGTGCCAACCAACCATGAGGCATTCACTGCCACCATGGAGACCTAGTTCTCCACTGAGGCAGTGGACCTGTGTCTGGACAGGCTGTGGCTAAAGTGGTGAGAAAATAAATACTTTCTTTGCTTTATATATTATATATTTTTACTACTTATTCTCCTGATTGCAGCCATTTTGAGTGTCATGAGGAGAAAAATGGAATTTAAACTGAAAGGATAAAATATGGAAGGAATACTATCATTCTTTCATGACAGTATGCTACATTGGATGACAGGCCTTCTCTTCAGAAACTGTAAATTTATAAACTCAACTACCATAAGATGTGGCAATCAGCAATAACTTAGATGGAATTCAAAATGAGTTTCACAAAGCTGTAGAAGATAGGTGTTTGAGTGGCAAAGCCATGATTGGTAATTAGATTCCCCAGGTTAAAAGATATAAAGCCACTGAAAAATAGCTGCTAGAATATGGTTAAGAGTGCAGGAGTGGGACACTATTAAAACATGATACAGAGAACAAGAGGAAGTGGAGAGGAAGAGATTTCTTTCTCTTTCCCTTAACACTTGAACCCAGGTTATCCCATGAACCGGATTGGTGAGACCTTTATGGCAGATAAAAGGAATAACTTCTTCACACAACTTATTGCAAAACTATGGAATTTGCTGCCACAGGAAGTGGTGACGGCCACCCATTTGGATGGAATTAAAAGAGGATTGGACAAATTCATGGAGGAGGAGGTTATCCATGGCTACCAGGCTTGCTGGCTAAGTGCTACCTTCTTTACCAGAGGTGGTATGCCTTCATAACACCAGTTGCTGAGGAGCTTGGGCAGGTGGCGGTCTTGCACCCATCCTGCTTGAGGGATCCTGTGGGCAGCTGGTTTGCCACTATGTGTACTTTGCTGGACTAGATGGACCTTTGGTCTGATCCAGCATGGCCTTTCCTCTGTTCTTCCGACCAGGATTGTAACAGGGAGGGGGGTGTAAACTATACAAGGTCTAGTATGGTCTAATCCAGAGGTAAGCAATTCATGGCACTCCAGATACTGTTGGACTGTAATTTCCATCATCCCTCGGCATTGGTTGTACTATCTAAGGCTAATGAGTTAACCCTCCAAGCATCATATGGTAGGCCATAAGTTGCTCACCTTGGGTTCTTCTTCAAGTTATAGGGAGTGAGATTCTGGGGGGACATCAGGAAGAACTTCCAATTACCTAGAGAGTTTGAATTCTTCCACTTTGCCGGCATTCAAGAGGCAGTTAGACGGCCACCTGTCTAGGATGCTTTAACTTGGAGTCCTGCATCGAGCAGGGGGTCGGACTCAATGGCCTTATAGGCATGAGTTTATGACTCTGTTCTTTGTAATTTTATTTGCAGCCTCTCTCCTGTTTGCAGTGGTTACATGCTTGGCTCAGGTTAAGCCCTTCCTCAGCTATTGACCAATGTATTTGAGGGGCTGGAATACCGACTTAGAACTTCAGTATTCTTGGTTATTCCAGGTTCAGCCTTCTTGTTTGGCCCAAAAGCTGACATATTGGCCTGGGTACTCCCTGTGTCAGATGTTTGCTGGAAGGAGAGAGGGCAATAAAGTTATACTGTGACCTATCCAGCCTGAATAAACATTTCTTCTTGTGAACGATTGCATACATCTGTTTTGTACCCAGGAGGGGTTCATGTAACAGATAATTATGTGGTACTTTCATGACCAGATGATGCACAAGAAGTAGCATTCAGGTGACTTGGTAAACAGCATAAGGTTCAGTCTGATGACACCAGAGAAGGAAGATTGCACACATGTAAACAACACTGCAGATGACAAGGCTGCCCCTAGATGGCGCTATTGCCATACCTTGTTGAAAAAGACACCACTGCTAAATGTGTGCTGCCAGGATGTGGGGAAGAAAGAATTTCCAGCGACTTAAAAATAGCAGGCAATGTTTTCTCCATCCATGTGTAGCCACCCAAGCCAGAGGGCTGCCAATTGAGAAAGAAGGCCTGATCTGTATCCCTCACACCCTATCTTCTTCTCTGTTCTTTGTAACAAACGGAGTACACACAAGAAACTAGGCTTGCTTTTCTGATACTCATTTGCTTCTGCTATATATTCTTTGCCTTTTGTTGCTTGTTGTAACTCTGCACGTTATTTTGCAGGTACAAAACCTGCTTAACAGAGGCTTGTTCATGCAGAGAGTAGGAAGTGCAGTCTTTCCTGTAGAAGAGAGGCTGGTTTTGCCAGATGCTTTAAGTGTCTATGTTGCAATCAAAGGCTGGGGAGAAATGCATTTTAATGGCCTTATGCTTTTCAGATGCCTGGAACTTAAGCCCAACATTCTAAACTGGGTTTCTCCAACCTGCTTCCCTATTGGTGTTTTCTGCTGTAACTCCCAGGATTCCTGTCTATTCGTTATAAGGCCTGGGACTGCTGAGAGTTAACTCTGAAAACAGTTGGGGACACCAGGTTGGGGAAGACTGTTCTGGATCTGTACTGTTTGTGCCCCAGTGCTATAAACCAGTCATTTGTAAGGGTAGATAAGAACCTGGTTCTGTATCCTCATCCCAAGAGGATACCCTAGCCCAGCACCACCCACATTAAAAAAAAATCATAAGTGTGCAATCCATTATATGTTTAGATGGAAAAAGTCCTACAATTCTCAGCATATAGGGCCTTTATAGGGAAAAAATAC